GGAATAAAGAAGCGCTATAAAGCTTAAGAAAGCTATCATTTATTATATAATCCCACCCCTCTAAGTAATACCTTCTTACTACTAATAGTTTAAATAATAGCTCCTACTTTCCTTATTATTAGTACTACTAGTAATACTAGTAAAAGCGTCATCGAGACTCTTCTAAACTTACTAGAATCTAGTAAGACCTTATCTAGTCACTATATTCTTACTCTTACGCGGTTCTTAAAGAGTCCTACTATATAGTAGCTTACTAAGTTACCTAGTATCGAGTTAGTAGAGAAGAACTAGATTAATATTACCACTAACTAGCTCTATAAGTAGGAGGTAGTTAGAGCGTTTATTATATTATATAATAAGCCTAAATACTTTACTAACAAATCTACCTTCTACTTTAAGGCTCTTAATATAGGTGTTAAGTATATTATACGCATCTTTATAATAGCTATAAATATTTGCCTAGATTACCCTATACATTATCCTCGCACGCACTAGGCAATTAAATAATTACTAAGCTCGCTAGAATATAAGAATATATATTAGTCCTTATTATAGCCTAATATTTTTACTCCCCTTTATCTTTCCTCCGCTATAGAGTTTATTAAGTAATACTACTAGACTAGAAAGTAGGACACACTTAAGACTATAGTATTAGCTAATACTCCTATTAGTATTATTAATTCTTATAATTTCGGCGTCTTTGCAGCCCACCTTCTAGCTTAGAATAATACTTCCCCGTATAATAAAGCCAGGTATATTCTAAATAGACTAGAGGATATTACTAAAAACTAAATTATTAAGATAATTAAAGAGTATATTAGTACTAAGGTTAAAAATATTAGCTTTAAGGATGTATTATTCCTCAATTACGCGGTTGCGTAGAGTTCTACTAAAATAAAGAACCTTATTAAGTCTATTAAGCACGCTCTAGAGACTATATAGGAAGGAAAGTACTTAACTTCTACTACTAGTATAGAGGTACTTAAGCTTACTATACTAAAGCGTACGCCTACTAAAGTGCTAAAGACTCTATTAGATAAGTAGGATAGAATATACTAATCTTTTAATAGAATTAAGATAGAATAGTCTCGTTCACTCTCGTGTATTAATTTGGGATAATAAGTACATCAGCGTTTTATTTCGCAGGTTGACTAGCTCTATGTAATAGTCTATATATGCATAGATTTCACGCTTGCGCTATCGAGCTAAAAGGTATAACATCCAATCGGTAGATCGAACCCTATATACTACTATATAAACGACGTCTACGACTTGCTAGTTAATATAGGCCTATTATTAGATGAGTTTAACCTCAGTGTATATTTTATAGGCTCTAGTATACCTAGTGTTATCACTAGATACATCGTGATTCGGTTAATATTTATACTGAAATGGACCGGTACTAGATCTTTAATACCGGTGGTACTACAGCTAATCGTCTAGAGGATATTCGATTAAGAGAGGTAGGGAAGAGGCTAGGAATAGGTTGTTAAAGGATTGAATTATCGAAGGATTAAGGTGAAGAACATACTATATACACACACGTAAAGGACAGATATTAATAGAAGCTAGATACTGCGGCGAAGAAATCGTTGAAGGATTAAGGTGGAGAATATACAGGTAAAGGACGGATACTAGGGAAGGGATTATTAAAAGGATCGAGGTGATAGAAGATTACATACGCGGAGGATAGACATTAAAGAAGCCGAATCCTATAGCGCACTCTTATAGGAAGTTTATAGGCAGTATAGCATCTAAGTTATACTAGATAGGCATTAGTAGTGTTATTACTTTTTCTCCGCCTTATAAAGGCTATCCTTATTAGCCCCTATAATACGTATAGTTAGCTGCAGGCTAGAACTTTCACGCAATCGGCGATCTTAGGCGGATTAAGAACTTTAACTACTAGCAAAAGCCTCTTAGGCGCAATCACTTTACTTATCTTCGTCCTATAACAGCGTCCCCTAACAGCGTCCCCTAATGGCTCTCACATTAACATAGTAGAATGTCTGCCTTAAATAAGATCCAATCTTCTATAGATTATATCCACCATCTGAATTCAACGACCCTAAAGCCGTTTATAGAATCTATAGGCGTCGTTCTTCTTTCTATAGTCATGCTACCTATTTTAAAGCATTATCGTATATTCGTGTCATAGTATTAAAAGGTCGGTAGTCCAATTCGTCTAGCAGTTTTAATTTATTTAGTTCTAAATATTTTAGACTAGATTGCCGACACTATACATAATTCCGATATTACATTCGCGTAAATTAATGCTCTAGATAATAGTAATATCTTGGCTCCGTTTAATATATCTATATTCCTATATCTTATACTCTTCTAGGGGCTCGATAACTTTAAAGCGTACCATAGAGTATTTAAGGAAATAGAGTAGGTCTTCTAGTAGCATATTCGTGGCTATATAAATAACTTTTACCCTATAGCATTATGTTATATTTAAACTATTTCTTGCAGTTCCCTATCCTTTCTACGATCTTAGCGACGTTGTTACCTGAGTTTAAAAGAAGTAGTAATATTATAGTAGTTGGATATATTGCGGCCGAAGATAAAGATTTAAAAGAATAGTTTAAGTTATTAGCAAAGACGATGCACTCTAAATATGTGTTCGGTATTACTAATAACTTAGCGCTTACTAAACTTAAAGATATCGATATACCTAGAGTCGTAGTATATAAAGTCTCTAATAAAGAGAAGAATACTCTACCTCTAATAGATAACGTAGATAAGATAGTTGCTAACCTTAGGAAGACCGCTCAGCCTCTAATTATTAACCTCGCTTTTAAACTTCATGACAGCCTCTTAGATATGAGTTAGTAGCAAATGGAAACTAGAGTTACTCTTATAAACTCTTACTAATCGCCTGCTCTAGATAGGTATCCCCTTTAGATACGTCTTCGCGAATACCTCTAAAGAACGAGTATAAGTACGTAAAGAAATTAAACTATTAGCACGAGAATTTCGCTAAGATATTCAATTTAGTATTACAGATCCGGTTAGGACCGAGCAAATTATAGACAACTTGCATCTTAATATTTCTCGCCTACCTACATTCGCAATTTAAGAGCTAATAGCGAATCTACGTTACCCGATAAACAAAACTAGGGGTTTATTTAACAACGTACTAAAGAGATTTATATAAGATCACCTCGACGGTAAATTATAGCCGATAATTAAGTTAGAGCCAATTCTAGGAAAGTTAGAGGATGCTCTTATTAAGGTAGTTAGCTTGAACTATTATAAGATAGTAATAGACAAGGCGAAAGATATATTGCTAGTTTATTACATTACGCCTTACAACCCTTATAAAGTATTATAGCCAACTTTAGTAGCGCTTGCGGTACTATACGCATCTAGTCTAAAGCTAAAGGAGAAGGTGACAATTACTAAAGTTATATATAATAGTAATAATACGCTAGAAAGACGCATTTAGGGCTTTCTAATAATAAAACTCTTCCCTATAGCTTCGAAAAGCGAGTCGGTGACTTTTCTTAGACCCAAGATATTAAATGCTCTTATTAACTTCATTCGTGACTATAGAAGTCATAAAGGAGACCTAAGTAATTTAAAAGAGGAGCAAGTCCTAGGCGGAGGAACGTTAGTAGTCCCTCCGAAGCAGGAAGTATGCGTATATAGGAATAGTAAATATGTAGTAACGGCAAGCTTAGATACTAAAAGTGATGACTCGGGGAATTATAAGTTTAAACTATAGTATGAGTCTTAGGGAGATAGTCCTAAACTTCTATTCTAATAATAGATACCCGGCTCGCAATTCTACTCACTTCTCTAATCCTCCTAGTCTAAAGCTATGCAAAGCTGCAATGAAAATTCTAAAGAGCTAAAAGCCTTTTAATCTTACTTCACCTGTAACGCCATCCTACCCCACCTAGTTAGGACCTCTTAGCTGTCTCAGCGAGGCTGCCGAGAATCCGCACTCTTGGGCTACAGAAAATTTTGGATAAGAACGCATACTAAATTCTTTTGCAATCTCCAGTCCGGCTTAAACAATTTAATTTTTCCATCTCTACGCGAGACAAAAATTCTTCCTGTTCTTAGTATAGGAGACTTCAGCATACCTCTCAAACAGGCAGTGGACGGTAGAGACCTACATAATCGCCCTAACTAGCAATACTTAGGCACGGGATAGCTGTCGTTGCGTCTATAAGCGAATAAGAGTTGCATAAACTCAAGCTATCATGCAACTTGCATTTCGTATTACTAGCTCCGCTAGGGATTAAGTCTATCGTAAAGCGAGCTTTAAGTACTCACATAAAGCTGCTTCGTACTATAGTAGCTACATAAATTATAAGAATAGAGGACTGGCGTTTGCCTCTATATTAGCTAGTAGAAGTGGCGGCCATACATCTATATGCAGCGCTCCGAGTAGTTTGCTCGGAGGAAGACTAATAAAACATAGCTCGAAGCTTCTAGTTGTTAGGCCCGTACGAATAAATCTACACTAACCGTATACTATGTAGAAACCTAGAATATAAATCTCGAAGCTCTCTCAATACTAGTACGACGATACTCTGAATGAGGACGGCGGCACGTTTCTCTTTCAAAAGCAATGCAGATGTGCCATAATGTTATGCTGGAGATGGATGAGCTTATAGCTATCTTATTTGGATAATATTTTGAAGATGCGTTTGCAGATGGGACAAGATGAGAAAAAACATATGAGGCGCAGTCACCTGTTGTGGTATCGCTTACTTTCGCCTCTTAGCGATTTGTTCGCGCTTTATGCCGGTTCAAAGGCGTCTAAATGACTCAATCTTCGCTTTTTAACAGTTGACTATATCCGTCCCGTGAATTGCGAAACCAGCTTCCATCCTACGGGAGCAACGTTTTTATCAGGTCTCCGAGGGGGGCTACGGGTAGTGTAATGTATCCCTCCGGCAACGTCGCCATATATTATTGTCATTGATATGGCGCCTTCTCTTCCTCCTTTGCTTTCTCTACCTCCTCCGCCAGCACCTAAACCTTCAACCCCAGACATCTTTATGCCAGCGTTTTGCTCTCTTTCTCCCCTGTCTCCATACGTCTACCACTGAGTTCTTCCAGCCTTTCACTCTTTTGATAGAGTCTCTTACCACCCCTTCGACAGCCCTTGCGATATTTGCTGCGCCACAAACATAAGAGCTTGCATCCTCCTCTAATAGCAACCTACCAATTTCGTCACCCCTCTCCTGTAAACGGTGTTGCACATATTTCTTTTCATTTCCTACATGAGAGAAAGCGGTAACAATCTCCAACTTACCATCCAAGGGTCCGGACATCAACTCCATTAGTTCATCTCGATAGAACTCGTACTCTGGACACTGGCAGCCGAAGAACAGGATCATCGGGCCAATTTGTCTTCCGGTTGACGCGAAGCGGGCACGGTCCTGTAAAAAGCCACGAAACGGTGCGATACCGGTGCCCGCTGCCACCATGATAAGCGGCACGGTGGAAGACGGAGGTAATCTGAAGGTCGACTGCCGGATTTGAGCATGCAACGACGGCATCCTTGTGTGGGGAGGATATTGTGCAGAAGAGTCTGACGTCGGAATAAGTTGTAATGAGGAGCTATATGTACTCGCCAACCTAGGAATTGTAATCTCCGGGTTCAAAAGTAACGGCGAGGCCTTCACCGCTACCATAATACTGACACGGCGTGGTGAGGTGATGCTTAAGCTAGAAATGGAGTAATATCTTGGCGCCATTGGCGGGAGAGATTCAACCACGAATGAAAGAAGTAGAGTAGTCCAAGATGCACTCGTGTCGATGGTGAGTGTATACTTAAGCAGCCGAGCGAGGGTGAGATGGTTATGCTCGAGAAACGTAGCATATGCGACCTTGTCTTTTCCGAGAGCTTTAAGTACTGATTTCACTTTTTCTGTGGCTGCAAGCTGTGCCAGCGAGAGGACAGTCTCCCGTGGAACAGGAGCATATATTTCCAGGTAATGTTGGAAGAGTGCTTGAATGGTCGTTGGGCTTGGGACCTTAAGCTTGTCGGTTTCTCCGTCTAGCGGCAGCACACTGATTGGAACATCCTTTCTAGACTCAAGTTCAAGTATGCGAAGAAGAGCTACCACTTCCTCATTCGGGTCTGTGGGCCAGACGGCAATATGATCACCAGTCTTGTATTTGATCTTAGGGTGAGCAGAGAGATCTAGCTCCATGTGAACATAGTTTCGGCTGGCTGAGGGTTTGAGGGTGAGTTCGCGTCGTTCTTTGATTGGAAAAGCTGCAATCGAGGAAGCTATAGCTGTTGCCTTCTTTGGAGTGCGTTTCAGGAAAGGGTCGCCCAGGTGAAGGCGATTGCTCGAAAAAGATCCGTGCTCGACGAACTTCATTCTCGCTGTGTATTTTGCCTCATATTCGGCGGGGTTGAGTTCTGAAGCCAGCATAGGAAACAAGTTATCCTTCCACTCCATGAAGTCTTCTTCTGTAGTGCGAGTCGCTTCGTTCCCTTTGCCTACTGGTAGAAGTGAAATAGCTCCTGAATAACCGAGTGCCGCCACGACATCGTCGATAACTTTGTTGTAGAATCGGTAGCTGCTGTTTCCAAGGCCGAAAGCCGCGTATCTCAGAATCTTCAAGGACGTGTCCGAATTAAACTTGAGCCAGTTCAAGGACTCGCTCGAATTATCGCTAGGATCTCCTTCGCCGTACGTAGTCATGACGAAGATGGCGATTTTCGACTTTGGAATGAGGGTGATCGTGTGAGGATCATAGTCCGACAGGTCTGCTACCAGTGCCTCGAATCTAAAGATCTGCCGATCGATAGATAGTAGTCTGCTTCGCGAGCTATGCTACTTGAAGTGAAGCTACTATAGATTCCTAAGAATATCGAGGAATTCCTAGAGAGATTACCTGCTATAGGTATAAAAGACGGACTTGCCTTTCCCTTAAAAACGCTGAAAAATGTCTACAGTGCTTTAGAAGCGGGATATAGCTATAAGCTTCGACGCCGCTTGTGTCGGCGTGAGAAAGCGCAGGTGCTAAGAAGCGAGAAATAGCTCGAGGAATATCTTCCCGTTTTTCTCTATGAACAAGCAATCGCAATAGGACGAGATCTTCCAGATGGCGATCTTAGGCATCACCCCAGAGTATGCCGGTATCCTTATATAGGGGACGTAAACTGGATGCGACAAATGCCGGTGACAAGTAATACTCCTATTGGGGAAAATGTCTACAATTCGCAAGAAGCGCAGGCAGATATCCGCAGGACTACCATGAAATCACAACTCCAGGAGGAACATACAGCCATTCAATGCCAACATATGCTACTAATAGAGCCCACGCATGAAGAAGTTGAATGTTGGAGAAGGAAGATCCATCCTAGTTCACATCGAGTTGTCTTGCCGCTAAGAACGAAGGGGGAGGCTAAGGAGGTTGGTCGGCCGAGAATATACCAGTATGAAACGAGAGAGGAAAAGAGGATTCGGAAAAATGCAAAAAACAATGAATCTTACCACCGACGGAAGCAAACCCAGAAAAGCCTTGGCCGAGGAGAGCTTCAAATCCGATTTCATCCGCTTATTATCCTCTCTAACAACACCAGAGGACTTACCTGAACTATAGCCGTCACCAATGAACGCGGGGCCGCAGTCGTTCAAATTTCAGTGGCCTAGAGCAGAGGGCACAACAAAAGAAGGGCTAAGCTCTACTCCAGCTAAGCGATTCTCCAACGGTGGACTAAGCGGGCGGAGAATCATCGCACGGAGACACTGAATAAGTCGTATCTAGCAAGCAAGGCACGCTGCGCGGCGGGTATTATAGGATCTATGCTGAAGTCATTCGGCACGCGGGAGGAGCACCGCATAACCTGGACGCTGGCCCGCCGCGTCCAGGACCAGCTGAAGGCTACAGGCGACTAGAGCTATAAGACGACTATTTCCGGCAAAAACATGCCGTTCTAGCGCCTTCCGATAGTAACGTTCCTAGGATTTATGCGCGCAAACGCTAATAAGTTTACCACCAGCTTCGAATACGTCCGGAGCTTGGGCACGCATGACTTTATCTCGTGGGAGCATAGCGAGGCGATAATTATATTCTTACGCTTACTTAAGCTAAGCGTTAGTAGCTACTAGATCCGTCGCGAAATCGCCGTGTAGTGCGACGTATAGCAATCCCGTAAGACTGGGAAGCAACTCTATAGTCTCGGCTTCTTGAGGACGATAAGGCAGTACGACTATAGCTGGTTTCTTCTGAAGATTAACTAGGAGCGCTTTACTTTTCTTAATAAGCTGCCCGGGCGGAGTCTCTTTGGCAACATCCACGTAGTTAAGGCTTTCAAGGTTCGCTGGCGCGCGGTCCGAGAGGTGAAGGACGATTTTATAAAGGTCGAGAGGTTAGGAAGATGGCTGCAGCAGTATCAGACCTGTGCGGAAGCCCGTAACTGGACGGGCATCAACTCCATCATCATTAAATTAAAGGATTAGCGGATTTGTATTATTTCGCTGGTGCGAATTTTACTTCTTGTAGAGAAAGTCTTAGGGTACCCAAGCTTCGAAGACGGAAGTGGTCAGTAGAATCTCAGGCCAACTAACTCAATGACGCTAGGTTTCCAGTACAGAGTGCAAGAGCAAATATCTCCTATTAATGAATCAAAGATGCTGCCCGTCTTTTGTAATGAATGAGAAGTCCCAACTTCTCGAAGAAATTCATCGAGAACAAGCTTCGTCTAGATGGTAAAATAGATAAAGTGTGCATGACAATAAAGATGCCGTCAAAGCAAGACTCCACTGTATTTCTACCTATGGGCAGGCATTCGAACAAGTTCCACCACAGATATTCGCAGAAAGCGGCCGAAACGGAAAGCCGTTCTGGCATTTATCACTATCCACAGATCAGCAGACAGCTCTACGCATTTCTACTTCATCATGGATCATGATATGTTATTACATCTCTGCAAATGCATGTTTTTTTTAGACCGTTGGACTTTGCTTACCTCGCGACTGAGATGCGGGCCCCTACACAACCCGCTTCGGCATGGAAGCGCACCGTTGCCCTCTCGAAGTTGACCCTCGCGCTTCTGATGATGAAGTTCCTAAGGCCAGTGCAGCCGCATGAGGAGAACGTCCCAAGGTTGTTACCGCAGGTGGTCGTATCGCTGGGGTAGACGATCGTAGCTGCGGTAAATGGAAGAAGGCTGAGAAGGATTGAGGCACGCATCGTGAGGACAATTGAGGTTGTGAGTTCAAAATATCAAAGGTGCGAGTAGGGAGAAGATTGAAGGCCTGAAGACGTTGATGTGAAAAAAGAACAGGTTAATCAGTCGGTGGATGCCTTTTATGCTGTAAACATGGGAAAGTGGAGCAACTACTGAGGATGTTAGTCAGTACCCGATTGGTCGTGTTGAGTTTTAGTTTCGGATCGTTTACGTAACGAATCTATATCGCTAATGCATCCTCGCATCGTGTAGGCATGCGGTGAGGTGTACCTAAGCTAATAACAGCGCAGACGAGATTCGAAGGTGAGGCCGGCCACTGCCTCGCGCCGCGCTAGTTGCAATTGCGAACCTGGACCCGCAGCTGTGTCAAGCGACCGCCTTCTTAGAGGATCTTAGTGGTAGGTTGTGCATGACATGCAGCATCGGCCTAGGCTGTCTATCCATACGCCTACTGCATATGGTAGTGGCTAGAAACACCCGCTGGGACGGAGTGATCTTCTCGAACGACACCCCATATTACACATTCATCCCCCAAATGGAGGATCTAATGGTGGGCTTGCATGGGCCAGACGCAGCCATGCTGAAAAGCTATTAGGAAAAAAAGCGATTCTACATGCCGATCGGGCAGGTCTACAAGGGAGGTGATTTTAGCGAGGTTTCAGCCGTTGATGTAGCGGAGCGCATTCGGTTGTTTCGAGCCAGTGATCGAGTATCCGACTTGCTAGGGGTACACCGTCCAAGACGCCCATAAAGGGATTGTGATGTCTTGTTACTTAGTCGAGCTGAGGGCCGGTCGTGTAGGTACGGCTTGCGAGAGTTGCAGAGGAGCCAGACTCGGAAGGTAGCCTTTAACGGGATCGGAGTCCAACGTTGGAGAAAGGCAACGGGGCGGACCGAGGGGCGACAAGATGATGGATGCCAAAAGGCGCGGGCGGTGGCCGGGGTCTAGGGACCACAAAAAGAGAACGATAAGCGATTGGACGGTGAGTGGAAGTACGAGGATCGGGTGCCCGCTTCCGGGCAGTGCTCTACATGGATAGCCGTGCCGCTCCACCAACACGTCCGCAGGACGTGCCGAGCAGCCAAACATCATCTAGCAGCCAAACATCACTTTTTGACTAGTGAGGTTATTTGGCTTATATTACCACCAATTAAACTAATATAAGCTCCAAAACGCTAGAGTAGTTATTTATATATAGGATTATTAATTTAAGACTGAATTTAACTAGATTATAGCCCTTACTACTACTTTAGCAGCTAGTAGAGCTTAGTGCTACTAAAGATCTAAAAGCATGCTCTTAATATTAATAAAGCTAGTTTTTGAAGCTCTAATAAATGCCTACTATATTTACTTAATCTCTTATTTAAGAACATTCTTAATATAGCTATACCTATAAGTTCGAGAATCGGGTGCCGATTTCTATACGAAATCACCCCTACACGGAACTTGCTGTTTTAGAATGGGACCCTATTCTTAGATCCTCACCAAGAATCCAGTCCCTCTATATAATAAGCCTATTTATACGACGCACCACGGTCGCATCCTCTTTAAAACTTATATAAACGTGTAGGATAATATAGTAAGTAACTCTATTAAAAGACTTTCCGGCTATCTCGTATAATATAGCTAATACATAAAATCAACCACTTATATAGTATATATAAAAGCATATTAAATCCTATAATCTCGGGAAAGCTAGTAATACCCGCTAAACAACCCACGTAAGCGCATTATATTATAAATAGCTTAGGTTTATATGCGACTACTCCGCTAGCTATAGCACTTAACTAAGAATACCTTTTTATTAGGGTCGCTACTAGTAAGAGACGGTCACGACCTTAATTCTAGTTCAAACTAAAATCCGCCATTAATACACTCATTATTATTAAGGGGAATATTATATACTTAAATTAATAAAGGTATAGGCTTAGTAGAAATATTATCCACCTCCACACTAAAGAAGTTTCTAATACTATAACTATAACGTCTATAGTCTAGTCGAAACTATATTATAATATACGGTAATACAACTTCTACCCTAACCTATACTATAATACATTCTATATATAAGACGACTACGCTAGCGCTTAGAGTTCTTATAGAGGCTAAATAAGAGATCACCTCTATATATAGCTATATAGAGGCTAACTAGTAACCGTAATAAGTAATCCTATAACTTAGTTACTATATCTCTTAACCACTATATACCGAATCTATACCTTATAAGACTAAGAGTAGAACTATAATCTTTCTACCGCTAGGGCTAGCCTAGTTAGTAACATGCGAATAGTACTTAGGCTAGGGGTTTAAGTTAGAATAGGAGAGCTCCGTATAAGAATATATTATATATAGTAGTTAAGGTCTATAAGCTCTTTATAAAAAGCTTAAAGGATATAGTATAACCTATATCTCTCCTATTATACGTACCGTAATACTAATAAAGCGGATACTAGCTCGAAATCACCCTAGAGTATAGGTATTAATTCGCACTATAATCTAGGAAA